CCCCAAAACCCCAAAACCCCAAAACCCCAGTGCATTAATGCTCTAACTTTAATGGAAATCAATAAATTAGGGAATAAATATATTTTTCTATGGTCGGATGAAATCTTCCATCCTTATTAAATCATATTTTAATGTTAAAGTTGCGCTTTATCTTTTCTACTTCATCTAGGTAAGCTTAATGCTTCATATCAAGAAGAGCAATATCATTTTTAGCTTGATATTTTTGTGCTTTATTTGCCTTGATATCAACTAAAGTTCCAAAATCATCTAAATTTTCGTCGATTCCAAACTCATTTTCAATTCTGTCCTTTGTATTATTGATTTAATTTTTATCTTCTTTTATTGAATTTGATTTCTGCTTTGGTTTTGGTACATTGCTTTTAGCAAACTCTATTGCTTTTTCTCTTGCTGTTTTTTCCTTTGGCTTAGGTGGTTAAGGTGGCTTAGAAGTTTACCTAATGATGATTTGGTTTTAAAGTTTCACATTTTAAGAAAAATCTTAAATAGTATCTTTCTTTAACTTAGCTTTTTGCCAGTCATCATTCCCAATATTTGCACCTAATCCGCCTAGTCTCTATTATGTCGCCTATGTTTAAAGATTTGAATAGTCTTTTTAAGTATAAGGTTTAAAATTCATTATTGACTGGCCTGCAGATGAATATACCTCAGATGGTCTTACTTAGCTTAAGGGTTTTCGTTTCAGCTTAAAAGTATCAGTTTATGCTTCACATTTATTCCTTTCAGATTTATGTGGATACTAAGGTTAGCTCTGGGGCATGTAGTTATTTTAAGTATGAGAAATAATACTTTTATTATTAGAGTTATCCAGGGAGCTGAGGTTTTCACTTTAGTAACCTCTACCGCTGTTTTACTAAAAATTCTCTTGCGACATAGCATATTTTGCCTTTGTTTTTAAGTCATATTCAAGCATAGATTAACCGTTATTTTAGGGTTTTTCAAGAGATTCTTTAAATTATCCAAAAAGACTATCTTAAGGATAGGCTTGTTTAAATGCAGGTTACTATACAACCTAGGAGACTATTGGCTTTGCGATAATTTTGTTTTAATTCTATTGCAAATTTGATTAGAATAGCTATTGTTAAGATTTTTAGAATTAGGAAGTCAAATTATTCTAGGATGCATTGCTTAAATTACTCTGCTAAAATTGCTACAACTAATTGGTTATATTAGGCTAGTTTTAAAGTCCAAAGGTTTAGCCATTAGAGGTATTTTATGGATTCTAAAGATTTCCATGATTGGGTTATTACTATTACTAGTTAGAGATATTTTATGGTTAAATGAATGGCATTTGTGATGAATTCTATATTGCAAATGGATTTCCAGCTATTCCATTTTAATTCTGCATCTGAAATTAAAGTTATGAATGCATTTACATTATCAAATTGAGTTGCTACTACAGTTATTCAGAGTAACTTGAGGGCTATTGATTCTATTACATTGCACCTAAATTCCCTAAAGGCAAAAGTTAATTTTGGAGAAGAGGCATTTAAAGTGGTTATTGTTGCATTTATTGAGTCTATTAAGAGTAGTTGTTAATCTAACTCGTATTCGATACAATATTAATTTGATTTAGTGGTTATATTTATTGTGCATTTACCTCAGTTTTGTTTATAACTTAGTTAAGTGGCTATGCCTTTTCTATCTAAGTGATTATCTATTGGCCAGTTTTGATTTCATTTTTGAAAGGTGGCTATTGCATTTTTCCAAACTTATTACTCTGTTAATCTTGAGATCCTGATTTATTTTCAGTTAATAAGTCTTCTTTGCTGCTTATCGTAACCTATTTTACTCTCTATAATCCACTTAAACTGGGTTTTTCTTAACTTTAATTTTTAATCGATATCAATCCTCCAGTTCCTTTCTTAGGTTATGAAGAGGTTACCTTATTTGATAAGAAAGTATTTTTCTGGACATCAGGAACAACATCAAAGAGAAGATTTTTGTTATGAACAATTATTTTTTCTTCTTTAGGCTAGCTATTTATCTTTGAAGGTTCAGCTTCTAAAAGTTCAAGTTCTTATTAGAAACTCAGATTTTCCTCTTCATCTTCTTCTTGAATGGGATCAGTTATTGATAGATCTTAAGTAGTGTTATTAAATTAGCTAAGATTTTATATCTGCTGAGGAGGTGGAGCAATTTATGATAATCCGCCAGTCAGAAATGGCTTTCTAATAGGTTTCTAGGGTTGAATAATAGTCTGAATATTAGATTGTTACATTTGCATTTAGTATTGAATATTATCATTATTTTAGTATGCATTACTGCTGAATTGATTTTAGTGAGACTACTGATTTGAAAGATTGACTGGAAGAGTTGCTCGAACTAACGATGATGGAACAAACTGCTTCACCTTAATGGATTGCTGGATGGGCTGGTTGTCTTCCTCATTGGAAAATGAGGCGTTATTTTCAAACGACAATACCTAAGTTTTCATATTAACTATTTATACTATAATTATCTATATTATTATGAGACACGTTGCATGGGGTTTTGGGGTTTTGGGGTTTTGGGG